AAGTTCTACCATTGGCAAGTAGAACACCCTCATTGGAATAGGTTAGAGCTTTAGATTCCATGTCTTGCTATCATGGTATATGTCGATTATTGCATATTCTCATCATATTGAATACCTATTAGCATTAGAGAAGTTCTATGAAGTTTAGGTGGTGATATGGGACACTATCTAGACATTGCACAATAAGCTTTGAAGGTGTTATTGGGAGCTCTTAGGTCTTGTCCAAGACCATTACTTGAATGTCCTTTGTGTTAAAAGTCTCCTAAATGAACTAATGAATGAAATTACTTAAGTTAAGAAAGTATGTTAATTGAATAAGTACTTATCTAGAGTAGTTAAGGGTTGTCTAGTTAAGATGTGAAGGGGGCACAAGAATGATCACTTCGTATCTTACCTAGATGAGTTTTAAGAATGACTCTAGTTAGGGAAGATGTTGATTATGTGGACATTATCTAAACTTAGGAAGTCTTAAGGATTGTTTAGGTACTCTTGAAGAGGTAAATCATGGACATTATCTTCTTGATTTACTTAAGTAAGTCTTTTGATAGCCTTTGGTAGGAGAATGTCATATTATTTATATGTTGATGTGTTGAGTTCTTGTAAGTGTGTATGTGTCTTATTATAAGTAGTCTTGAGGGTCATTTAGGTATGCTTAGGGAGGTTGTATGGGAGGTCTCTCTTTGTGTTTCTTAAGTGGGTCTTAAGATAGCGTTTAGTGAGAAGACTACATGCTAGAAAGTGTCTAAGGAAGAAGTAGACAACTTCACTATAAGAGTAGTGAGTTGAGCTCACTGTTAAGTTGGCTCATAAATGTGTTAAACTATCTAAATGTTATCTTATGTGTTTCTAAGTTGTTAAAAATTGTTCTTATGATTATAATATGATTTTTAAATAGAAAAGATGCATATTTCTAATAAATGTCCATTTTCATGATTTGCATGCATTATGTCATACTTAGTACATGTGGTTGTACTAATTCATGCTATTATCTATCTTTATAGTTGTTGGTAGGTGAGGAGCATTTGGGAAGGAAGACTTGGACCGTAGCATCGTTCAAGAGAAGTCAAAGTATGTCCTCATTTGATTAGAGGGCATAGATGTCTTTTCTGTTTCCATTTGAAGTATTGTAATAGATGAAGTATTTCTATATTCTATATCAGTATTGTGTATGGGCCGTGTCCCAAATGTATTCTCGTATCTTAAGTTTGATGAGATTGAGACTTAGTATTTCCTATGACTTTATATGAAGAGTTTTTAAAGACTATGATATGTTTTGTGAAAGTTTTAATTCCGCATTACTTTTCATTATGTTTATGCGATTAATGATATGTAAGGGATTGTATAAGACCTCTGAGAGGTCAAGTACGCCGGTTGCAATCTGAGATTGCCCCTGCCTTCTAGGATGTGGTTTCGGGATGTGACAATATGTTGGGTGTGTATTTTGTTCTATTATAAAATACTTGGAACCTAGAACTGAAAATTTATTCACGACAAGGCTTGCTAATTTTCATTTTGATGAATCAGTATACTCAACATTAGGGGGAGACAAAAGCATTTGGGAAATGATATAAATTGGAATTCACGTTCATTGTCTTATTTAGATCCTTGAGCGAATCAATGTGTGCAGAAAGTTCAAAGGTGACTTATTTGCAGAATATTGCCAATCAACTACCGGATGCATTTACTAATCTTTTACGGGTTACTAAATCATATATCTCAGTTTCTATTGCTCAAGTTCGAGTTGATGTCTCGATTGAAAAAAATGTTAAGACAAAAGAGTCCAGACAACGATTAAAATATGGTAGACCAATTGATTTCAAGAATAAAAATTCTCAAAAAAGAAAAGAAATAAATGATTAAGATAATCATAATATAAAGACAATTGCTCATGAAGAGCTCTGAGACATAGTAAATGATGACAACACTAAAGAGGTCCACGTACCTAGAAATAATGAGTATGAAGAAATCTCGAAAAATTATGTCTCCGCGAGAAAAATATGGAACAGAAATAATTGTGGTGGATAATGTTTTTGCCTATAATGTTGTACTTCAAATGATACAACAAGATGAGGATTTTGAATCAAGATATGTCAATGAATGTAGACATGGAGATGATTGGTCAAAATAGAAGGAAGAAATTCAAACAAAATTGGTTTCACTTGAAAACGTGAAGTTATCGGACCAATAGGTCAGAACACCGGAAGGTGTCAAGCCAGTGAGGTACAAATGGATTTTTGTGTGAAAACACAATGAAAATGGTAAAGTCGTAAGATATAAAGTACGATTTGTGGAACAAGAATTTTCACAAAAGTCTGTCATTGATTATGAGGATACATATTTGTCTGTGGTTGATGCAATTGTCGTCAGGTAACTGATAAATATAACAGTTAATGAAAAATTGAAATTCATCTTATGGACCTTGTCACAACCTACTTATATGGCTCACTAGACCACAATATTTTCATGAGAATGCCTGAAGTACTCAAAGTGCCCAAAGCATATAAAAATTCAAAGAGAATTGATCAATAAAGCTTCAGAAATGCTTGTATGAATTGAAGCAATAGGGCGGATGTGGTATAATCGCCTTAGCAATATTTGTTAAAGGAAGGGTATAAGAATGACTTTAAATGTCCTTGTATGTTTACATAAAGGTCAAAATATGAATTTGTAATCATATTTGTTTATCTGGATGACTTGAACATCATTGGAACTCTTAAAGAGCTTTCAAAAGTTGTTGATTGTTTGAAGGAAAAAATTGAAATGAAAGATTTTGGTAAGACAAAATTTTGTCTTGGCCTTCAGATTGAACATCCGACGGATGAAATATGTATCCATAAATCAACATATACTAAAAATGTTCTGAAGCGGTTTTATATGGTTAAATCACACCCATAAAGTACCCTGATGGTTGTGAGATTTCTTGATATAAATAAAGATCTATTTCGACCTCAAAAAAAGGATGAAGAGTTTCTTGATGATAAAACATCATATCCCAGTGCTATTGAGGCACTAATGTACCTTGTCATCAATACTTAACCAGATACTTGTTTCGCAATAAGTTTATTAGTGAGATTCATCTCATGTCCAACAAGAAGACATTGAAAAGATTTCAACCATATAATCAGAGATCTTCGAGGAACAATTGATATGAGATTCTTGTATTCTAATGCATCCATGTTAGAATTGATCGATTATGCAGATGCGGGATATTCGTTTGACCCACATAAAACCTGATCTCAGACAAGCTATTTATTCACATATAGAGGTATAACTATATTATGGCGTTCGATAAAGCAAACAATAGTTGTTATTTCTTCAAATCATGCAGAGATAATAGTCATTCATGAAGCTAGTCGAGAGTGTGCATGGTTGAGAGTAATGACTCAATACAATTTACATTTATGCGGTCTTTTCTGTGCAAACAACGACTTCAAAAATATTCTTTGAAGATAAAGTTGCTTGCATAGATCATTTATAGGGAGGATATATCAAAGGAGACCAAATAAAAACATATTTTACCTAAGTTCTTTTTCACGCATGATCTTCAACAAAATGGTGAGATAATTGTTCAACAGATTCATTCGAGTGATAATCTTGCATATATATTCACTAATGCATTGTCAACGCCAACATTTGAGAATCTAAGATATAAGATTGGAATGTGTCTTCTCCAATATATCAAATAATTTTTTTCATCATGGCGAGCAAAATACGCGATGTACTCTTTTTCCCTTAGCCAAGGTTTTTTCACATTGGTTTTACCTGGTAAGGTTTATAATGAGGCAACACTCAAAGTGTATAACAAGATGTGTGTACTTTTTTTTCCTTCAGTAGGCTTTTTCCCACTGGTTTTTTCCTAATAAGATTTTAACGAGACAAATTATATATATACATCCAAGGGGAAGTGTTACAAATCCATTTAATTGTGGATGATTGTCTTAATTATCCCTAACGTAATGTATGTATTTATTGTATTTATTAAAGGTGTACTAACGTATTTGGTTAAAGGATGTAACCGGGTGTTTTATAAATCCTATAAAAGGGTATTCTTTTCACCCTTGTAAAACACACTTGAAGAGATTTATACGTCTCATCACCATTTGTCTCCCTATAATGTTTAATATTCTTATATTTTCTTCTTGATTTACAATAATATTCAAATTTTCAAGGGAGACGGTACAAGTACCCCCTAGACTATGACCGCAATTCCAGAGACACATAACTAAACTAAGTAACTATCTCCCCCCCCCCCTCTCTTCCCCTAGCGAACTCATTTTATGTATAATATTGTACACCTTTGACTTATATGGCACATCTCGTGACTCCATGCAGTTGAAGCGCATGAAATATATTTGGATGTCACGTAAATCAAAAAGGTGTACAAAATTACAAAATGAGTTTATGGGGTAATAGGGTCTTAGTTTAGTTAAGGTGTGTCTCTGGGATTTGGGTCATAGTCTAGGGTTGTACTTCTATCCTTTCCCAATTTTCAATCAATATTATACATTTTTTGAAGGGTTGAAATCTTTAATTATCATGTATTTTCCTTTTTTCTTGTAATCTTAAAAAATTAGTGTTGTTATCTTCTTCTTGTTTCCTAATTATGTAAAATTATACGTAAAATATAAATAAAATAATTGTACGTAAACATAAAATAAAATATAAAATTTATTATATAAAAAGAAAATTATTAGATGAACTTAACTAAATATATGAGGTATGTTAATTAATTAATAAGAGTTATATATATGAGACATTTGTCTTTTCAGGCTTTTAATAATAGAATTTTTTTAGTTTATTCCCAAATGCTTACTTGTATTTTTAGAAGGTTTAATGCTTACTTGTATTTAAAAACAGTTTTAGAGGTTTACAAACACCTATTTTTCAAAGAAAAATAATTTTTCTTATTTTTTTCAAAATAAGTGTTCCCGACTTCAACAGCAATGCTTCTTGGTATGGATAGTAAAAGTTTTCCAAACGACCCCTAAGTGGCAGGAACAAGAAGATAAACGTGTCAAACTATTATTGGTATTGTTTCGTGTCAATCCCACAATGAATTCTAGGATGTAAACCATGGTTCAGCGCGCCCACTACTTATATACTAGCAGTAGTAATAAATAACTCCATTAATTAGTTGTGTATAGTTTATAGTGCATAACAGTAATCAAATCAAAAGGAAGAAGAAATGGGTGAAAAGGGTTTACAAACGCCGGCGAGGAAAGTGTATTTGTGGGTTCGAAAGCAATCGAAGAAGGTGAAGACTGTTTTAGGTGTTGTTACATGTCTCACCTTACTCATTACTCTCAGATTACTCATCCATGACCACAATCACTTCTTTGTTTTAGCTGAGTTTGTTCATTTCATCGGTATCTTATGTTTGATTTACAAGTTGTCTACTCTCAAAACTTGCTCAGGTAATCTCCTCTTCCACTTAAATCATCCGTTGACCAAATAATTGATTTTTTTTGTACGATTATCAATTAATTTGCTATGCAGTTTATCTAATTAATTTGTGTAAACATACATATACATCAATTTATTTGCTGTAACGATTGAAATAAAAGTTTAGGAGTTTGCTTGACTACTTCTGTTGTACTGGTTTCAAGCCTGTGGTAACTGAATATGCAGTTGGTTGCACAGATACAAGTCTGCGTTGAGTGATATTTATTGTTGCTAATATTGGTTTAAAGTCTATCTATATTGTACATAATAGGAAGGTTTGGAGGTGGAAGATCAGAATAGGAGGTTAGTAGGTAGTCTGACTGTGGTCTATTTCCCTCATCAGTGTTGTTTTTATTACTCTCCTACTGTCTTTTGCTTCGATTTTATTGTCTCCTTAACTGCAGTTATCATATTATTATTTATTGCTACTGCTCTATTCCCATTTGTTTCAGTATGGATTCTTCACTACATAAGTTTCTTTACATACTTTTTTTTATATGCTTTACTTGAGCGTCTATTGCAAACAACTTCTCTACCTTCTCAAGGTAGAGATAAGGCTGCATACGCACCACCCTCCCTAAGACTCCACTTGTGGGATTACACTAGGTATGTATGTTCTTAGCCGTTAACATGTTTGATTAGTGACATTATCTTATTAATGATTCATCATTGGCCAAAGCAGTAAAAAGCACTTACGCAGTGCATTTTAACTTTTTCCAATAAGTTGGCGAAATTTTGTATGACCGAACACCTTTAGGCGAGGTAATTGTTCAGTACTTAGTACGCTCCTGTTTTCCTACAAATAGATAGGTGAAAACAGTATACTTATCTATATAATCTTTGTCGTGTGTATTGTGTGTATAATCCTGTCATGTGAAATGTGCAACTCCCAAATCCATGTTATTGCAGTTAGGACTGCAATAATTCAAAAGTTGTATCGTCCATTGTAATTCTTAATTATGTTTTCAAGTATCGTCTGCTTTTTCTCATCACTTTTCATCTAATGATCTGTCTTCACCTGCTATGACAAGGCTTGTCATTGAAGAGTCAAGTGCTTACGGCGATCTTTCTGGCTGTAAGAGTATTTTGTAGTTTCATCATGGAAGGAGATATACACACCATTCTAGATTTTGTTACACTTGCGGCAACATTGTGGGTAATATATATGATGAAGTTCAAGTTGAAGTCGTCCTTCATGACAGATCTGGATAATATGCACTATTTGTATTTGGTAAATACAATTTTCCCAGCTGCTTTCTGTTGTCCTGGTTGTTACTGCAATTGAACTCTAGTTTTATACTAACCCCCTTTTGTGATTTGTATAGCATGTATGTTTCTTGCAGAGTTGGTGTAGGTCATGTCCGACACTTCACACATCAAACATAATAGGAGAACATGTTCTTTTTTACGTTGTTTACAATCCTTGATGTTGTTTTCTTTCAAACAAGACATTGCCTTTTATTCTTTTCCAGCGAATCACTCCAGAATTTTGAGATATTTTAGATGAACATAGATTGTTTACCATGAGAGCAAGAAAAATATGAGAAAGAAGATCAAAGGTTTTTCTATTAAAGTACTGAAGGATGTTTCTGGTAGACCTATCATTGACAATAGTATATGACTTTATTATGCCAATGTATATGTGCTTATGCTTTTGTCTGTCAAATGATTGTGAACTAGTAATAGAGATAATATGCAATGTATATTGTTGTGTAATGCATTTCTTTTGGGTCCGAGCCGTTTAAGGTGACAAACTTCTTCCATTCTGTTAAAAAAAATTATTCATCGCTCAACTGTCATTTGTTGCTTTGTGGGAGCATCTGTAGCTGTTGAACGTTGAAAATGTAGAACTCTTAGATATTGTTTGGTTTTGTATTTAGGTTTTGGAAGTCGAAAACAGATAGTGGTGATTACTAGCTGGAAGTAGCTTTAGGTTTTCAGTCTATATGCAGTCAACTTGATTTACTATAGCAGACTAGTACACATTTCGAAAATAACTCTTTATCTCCTGCTCAGCTCCTGCTGGTTAAGGCTGCATGAACTTAGCATAGTGCACAATTGAGATTCTCAATATTCTAGTTTTGCAAAATATATTTTCTTCTTGTTGGTTATAATTTATATGATGTACCTAACAACTAGTGCTAGTGTGGTAATAGTTGACTTAAATGTTTTATGTCACCAAATTATGCAAATTTTTAAATGATGTAATGTGGTCTTTTGGAAATAAATATGTTGAAGTTGCTTTAGCTTCTGGAAGTAGTAGCATTACTTTCCTTCTCAGTCAGGATACCTCTCCTGTAGCTACTTTTGTGCATGATAGTGGTAAAACAGTAGGAAGTTCTTTATTTCCCAGTAAATAGCTTGGATGACATTCTTTTCCCAATGAACTTTTTGCACAGATTGTGCCTTGTGTGGTTGCAGCCTTCTTAATCCATCCTGCTACGGCTCATAATTTCTTCTTCCGGATTCTTTGGGCTTTTTGTGTATACATGGAGTCTATCTCAGTGCTGCCTCAGCTTCGCTTGATGCAGAATGTCCAGGTTTGTATCGGCTCTTTCCTATGAGGAAAATCATATGTTAGTTTGCAGACCTTACTTTCTAGTGTGAATAGCTTATATATATAGTTTGTATTCTTGTATTCCAGATAATTGAGCCGTTCACAGCTCATTATGTGTTTGCATTGGGTGTTGCAAGATTCTTGGGCTGTGCTCATTGGATTAATCAGGTTTGTTTTGAAGTGTTAATTTTTATGCGGTAAAACTTTTGAATCAAGTGGAGTACTTGAATAAATCCCCACCCTCTTTTCTTTTCTTCCTATAATCCAGACTTGTTCATATACAGGTCTATGACACTAGCGGAGCATATCTATATTTGGCTGGACGGGGTTACTTTTGGATACCGATGGTCTTTTTGGCGGAAATTGTTCAAACGTTCATTTTGGCAGATTTCTGCTACTATTACATAAAGAGGTGAGAACCATGGTAATTCAACAATTCGGTTGCTTTCTTGACGATATCTCCGTTCGTATGTGACAAACCCTTTTTTGCAGTGTCATGAGCGGTCAACTTTTGGTCCGTCTGCCGCAGCCTGTATAGAAGTTCAAATTACTATATCCTACAAAATGTAACATATGTTGTATTTCTTGTGTTATGGTGTGGATATAGAGCTTTTTCTACCTCGTATTTTCTGTTTTTCATCTTCTCCTCTTTTCTCTAGTTCCTCTCTTGCCAATGCAACTGAACATATAAATAAATAAATAAATTTGCTAGATGCATTGCCACGACTGATCTTGCTTCTTGAAGTCTTGTGCACCTAATTTTCTGGAGATTGTTTCTATACTGGGCTGAATTTTGGATTAATCGTTCACTTGACATCCAAGTTGATACAGCGTTTAGAACGATACACTCAGTTTCAACAGCATAGCTTTTTCTTTATACTGGTATCTTTTGCGTGGATGGGGTACCCTTTTGAACAAAGAAGAGCTTGGATGACAGCATAGCTTTTTCTTTCTCCGGACTCTTCCGAGAGAAGAGGCTCTTTACATTCCTAGTACGGTAGAGTCAGGATTGCTTGATAACTCCTTGATTAAGCTCATTTCTTCTCCGTAGTTCGACTCCGTAAAAACACAACTACATTAAATCAAATCAGATCGCAAGTAGAGTGCCACAATGAAATTGATATATGCAATTCATGCAAATCTATATCGGTAGCATAGTGTCATTAAACACCTTAATTATATAATTGTACATGTCCCATTTCTTATTCCATCTTGGAAGCCAATGCACTAAACACTTGATCTGGTAATTCAGTTCGAAATGTTAGATTGCTGTGTTATTTTCTTGTGATAATTAGACCTGTCATTGAAGACCAAGGGTGTTTGGTACGAAGGAAATATTTTTCATGGAAAATGTTTTTCTAGAAAATATTTTCCTGGAAAACAAGTAGATTTTGAACTTATTTTTTCATGTTTGGTTGGTGAGTAGAAAATATTTTTCAGAAATGATTTTGTATTTGATTTATGAATAAAAGATGTTTTTGAGAGACATCTTTTATTTTTATTAGAATAAAAATAATTTATGAAATTGAAAGAGCGACCTAGATTTAGGAGAGAAAGAAGGGGGAGAGAATGTATCTTCTCGCAAATTTTGGAGAAAAAACATACAAACATGAATTGATTCGTTCAAAATGATTTTTATCAATAAAAAATGTTTTTTGAGAGATATCTCTTATTTTTATTAGAGTAAAAAATAATTTATGAAATTGAGAGAGGCGAGTTAGATCTACGAGAGAAAGAAGGGGGAGAGAATGTATCTTATTGTGTCTTCTCGCAAATTTTGGAGGAAAAAAATACAAACATAAATTGATTCGTTCAAAAATGAATACTTAGGAGGAGAAAGCAACCGAGATGTATTTTGTATTTATTGTAAGAGTAAAATGGAACAATTACTTTTAGTACGGTTTTCTGTATTCACTCTCAATCACTAAAAAGCCAATATATTATTTACTTCCCGTCCTCTATCTTCATTCACCATTGCAACACAGCAACAGACACAAGTTACATTCAAATGGCACCTACTAAGCAAACAGCTCGTATATCCACCGGTGGGAAGGCCCCAAGGAAGCAGCTAGCTACCAAAGCTGCTAGAAAATTATCTCCGGCAACTGAAGGAGTGAACAAGCCTCATCGTTTCTTCCCAGGAACTGTTGCTTTAAGAGAAATCAGGAAGTAGCAGAGGTCTACGAAGTTGTTGATCAGGAAGCTTCGATTTCAGAGGCTTGTAGGGAAATTGCTCAGGATTTCAAGACAGATCTGAGGTTCCAGATTAGTGTTGTTGCTGCTCTACAAGAGACTGCTGAGGCCTACTTCGTTGGGCTCTTTGAAGATACCAATCTCTGTGCTATCCATGCCAAGAGGGTAACTATCATGCCCAAGGATATTCACCTTGCTAGGAGGATTCGAGGAGAAAGGTTTTAAGAAAAAGATTGTTACAGTTAAAGGTTGTTTCAGTTGAAGTATTTCGAAATCTGAATGCTGATATTTTTAACTCTTTTTGTGCAATCAAAGATCTTGCCCTTACTCGGAACTTTCAAGAAATTACTTTTTCTTGGTAACATTTTCATTAACAGTTACACTTCCTGTTCTGCTTAGTATTTTGTCTATATAGGAAATGGAATCCCAATACTAGCAGTTCCTTAGATATGAGTCATTTGACATTACTTAACAATCCTTTCTGTGGGATTTTATCATATACTTTTTCATGACTTGTGGTGGGCCGCCTAACTGAACCTTGGGATGTGCTATGTAAGCTGTGCAAGGTTGCAAAATGTTCATCCTCAAGTCAGGATTTCAACTTGATTCAAATGGTGACCGGCTTTCGTGCCATTTGTATGATAAGTTTAAGATTTCTAGGGGCTTCATGACATTTTATGGTGAGAGAAGTATGTTAAAAAAAATGGGTCTGTCTTTGTTGTGTAGATTTTTTTAATGACTTATCTGCTACAACACTGATTTGGCTTGAAATGAAGCTTACGAATAAGTAAAATGGCCTGAATGATAAGAATTGTCATTTTGAATTGATTCGTGAAGAAAGTGTGTGTAAATTGCTGGTTTATTAGCATTTTAGATCTAACTAGTGCATCCACTTATTAGTTTTTGTTCTAAATTGAAGGCCTTGACCGTACATATTTGTGTGATAAATTTGCCAACAACTGAAGTCTTGAGCTCTATTTTGGGATGAGGATTGGGTTTACATACATAAAACTGCTCTATCTGGAATCAGGGATTTTGGTTTACCTTGTATTTTTGGGTATGAAGAAGTTCCATTTATGGTAGTTGTTCACTGCTTGTTGTTTTTATGTATTGTGTGGAGGAATAAATTCATCTAGATCCCAAAATATTTATGACGGTACTACCTGACCTTGGCATTATTTATGGTTATGCAATATATGAAAAATAATCCAGATAATGAAATGAATTTTCTTAATGTAGATTATGAATACTAACACCATTACTTTATAGGTCTCAAGATTTGAGTTACTCTTAATTCAACATTGACTTAGAAAGTCCTCACTCTGTGGCATCACCATTTTACAAGTTATGTGTTCCCTTTATCAGTTGTCCGAAAGTGAGTTGATTTGGGTTTGTTAGTTGTTATCCAAATGCAACTGTATAGATTTTAAATCATAGTGTATACTATTAGTTGCAGAGGGTGGGCTGATGCTTATTCTTTTGCCAATAGTATTACAGGTGGAGCTTGGATGCAATTGAAGTGGTAGTAGCAATCTTAAAGGATTTTTTGTTTCACTTTTGCTTCAGAAAAGATGAGTTGTGGTACTGCAATTGGTTGTGTTTTAAATGGAGTGAGATGGTCTATTTCGAGGCATCAAATATCTAGCTCATGTAAGCATTTGACTGGGTTTACCTTCAATGAATAGTAAGAAAGAGTTCTAAAACTTACTTTCATTTATTAGAATCTCATTCCGATATTGCTACTTTACTACTGCTGCCAAATAACTAAAACAAACCAAAAGATCGTCTATTCATCTATGGCTTCAGTTTCTTCTTATAATCATTCAATATTTCTTTAGAACTTCTTGAAAATTAACTGTTGTTTGGCACAAATAAGAAATATCTTTATTATCTACCTATGATATCTACATCTTCACTTGGTTAGAACGGGATGTTGAACTTAACCTTGAGACAACTATCTTTTTTTTCAAGCTCACGAGATCATCCTCGGGTCAGTATTTCCAATAGATTCCAATGGTTGATGGCTTTTGGTGCCAGAGATAAAGTAAGAGTTCAGGCATGAATACTGCTATTAGGAGAACAACCGAAGCATTCTAATGCATTGCAGATCTGAAAACAAACTAGATTATAGGAAAATGGGGCTCAGGTGCTGTGCTCTGCTCCTAAGGATCTCTACTCTTAATTCAACATTGACAGTAAAAATCCTTGCTATGTTGAATGAGAAGTGTACAGCCTTTACTCCTCAGAAGGTAATTTTAGTTCTGTTGTCTTGCAAAATAAGTCTTGTTTATTACTTCTCTCATTTCTAACTTGAGATGAACCAATCTACTTCCATATGTCTTGTCTCCTACAAGTTTTTCTATATTAAATTTAAACTTAGAGTTGATTGAGTTTGTGAGTGTATGACTATGAAAAGGGGATGTGTTAGTTACTAGTTACAGTCTTACAGATTAGAGAGCCCCTTTACTTAATAACTATTTCTTGCTTAAATAGGTGATTGATTTTCTATAGAGAAAAGTGTAATCAGTTTGTTGGCTTCTGATGTTTCAAGTTATCATGTGGCTCGACTAGCCAGGAGAAAACATAGAGCCAAAACATAAGTAAGCATGCCGCTGTAACTTCTCTATTTCAAAATAAAAGATCATTCATATATACAAAAAATGAAGTGAATGCTGATACTCTTCAAAATTACAAGACAAAAAAGTAAGAACAAAATTTCCAACAACTCGAATTATCATGATCTCAAAACCTTTTCCTAGTCCAACAATGCTTGGAAGAAGGAGGGTCATAAGAAGTTTAGGCGTTTGATGAAAGTCTATCGTTATAATCCTTCTCTTGGCTTCCCTTTGATCTGCTAACCTTTGCTCGAACTTCCTCTTGCTTGATTCAAATTTCTTCTTCATATCACTGTCGCTTTGTGTTTCTATTTGCATTGGTCTTGCAACTGCAGAACTTTGTGATATTTTCTGCATTGGTCTTGTACTTGAACTACAGTTTCTTTGTTTTGGATGGGGAGGAGGAGCAACTTCTACATTCATCATCATCAACGGCAGCAGCATGCTCTTCGTTGAGCCAGTGGTGCACTCTTTTCTCCTACTTTGGATAGGGGTCTGTCGTGCTCCATCTTCTCTCTTCTTTTCTGTGTCACTCTCCATCTTCCTGAAGCCTTTGGGACTCTGTTTCTGGAGTTGCTTGCCTGTGTGAAGGTGCTTCTGGAAAGATAAATCAGAAAGAAGTCTTACACGAGGAGCAGCAACGTGTACTCGTCTGGTGGACTCCTTCATCCTCTTTCTTGATTCCATAGTAGTAGTATTATGCGACTGTGGTGTTCCTTGTTTATCCAATTGTTGAACCAAGTCAGTTTTCTTCAACTCCGTGCCGCTTTCCGTTATTGAATTGTTATTGTTCTGTTTCTCCAGAGCAACTTGTACAGACTTGCTGATGACTATTCTAAGCTTTGTCACCAAGGGTTTGTTGCTTTCGGCGGTAACTTGTTGTGTTGCTAACCCATCCTCTTCTTCTTTCTCAGGGTCTTCAATGCTGGTCACGTCATCTTCTTCTTCTTCTTCTTCATCATCATCATCATCATCATCATCATCAATACTAATGGCGTCGTCTTCCTCATCAATATCATGTTCGCCGGGATACTTTATCAGGTTGAATATCCTATTTTTCCGCTTCTCAAACTCAACAGGATACTTTGATGCACCAATAAGTATAGCAGCTTCGATCAATTCACATATATCAGGCTTCTTCTCTATAGAATAAGAATTCAAGAACATCTTCGATATCCATTACTTTAGTCCAACTAGAAGAAACAATTATCAAAAGAGTAGTTTACTTAAGGTGATGATCACAATTTACATCTCTCTTAATTATATACATCTTAACCCTACCATTTTTAGAAACTTTTTCCTTTTTTTCAATACTAGTTTCTAAGTACGTGCGTTGCATGTGTGTCTTGTGTTAATAAGTACAAAAAAATTAAATGATATAGATGCTACTAAAAATTACAAGTAGTATTGAGTAACTAAATTTTGAAAGAGAAGTATAATTGTTTGTAGTTATATACATTCAATTGAATTGGTCTATATATGTAATATTTTTCTTATATAGTTCTAATATATCTTATACTTAGTACAACATATCCATTTTTTAAAAAAAAAAAATATTCACAACAAATAGTTTCTATGTGACGTAAAAATAATGTTGATTATGTTTTCAAGTGTTTTACACATCTTACAGTTTATATCGTATGTAAGAAATTGTAACCTCATTTTTATAGACACATGCATATCAAAAAGTTGCCGAATAAAAGTCGTTTTTCATGTTGTACAAATATTGATCAACATATGTTTCTTTAAGGTGGATAATGTATTATTGTAAATGTCATGTTATGGGATACACTTTTTTAGAATATTGCTTATTTGCGATCGAGATAGTTAATAATTAGTAGCATTAGAAAATTTAATCGATATATAAAAATTTAATTGCACGTACAACTTTCTTTGTTTGATTCAAGATTATGAGTTCCTTCATATGTAAGTTTGACTGGAAAATATTAATTAACTTATTAAGATATAAATCATATTACGGAATATAACATAATCGAGCTATGCTTACAAATAAAAAACTTGATATAAATGGTTGAAATATTTAAAATATCTTATCTAAAAATATTGGGTCTACGTTTTCAAAAAAACATCCACTCAAAGAAATAATAATTTTGTATGAATCTAAAGTCTATCATTTATTCCCTACAAAAAATTTTCATACATATCGGTATTTTCTTACAGATTATATTATATTTTTGTGAAACGAACATCATACTTATTACTTACATGATGATGTGAATGAGAAGTGAAGTACTCAAATTCGTAAGATAAAAACCTGAAACATGAGAAAAATAAATAAGAATTAATAATTAGCAAAAACAAATCAAGAAAAAGATATATATTAAAGAAAAACAAATATAAAAAATATCTAGAATAAATACAGAAGACAAAATATAAAGAGATGATAATAGACTAACATATATATAGATTTAATGAAGTTAGCTATTCATATTCCTAACTAAGGAGATTTCATGCATTTGTCGTAACATTCAATTTAATTTAATTAAATATATATCTAGAAAACTGAAAAAAAATCTTGATGCTTAGAAAACTGATTTTGATGTTTAGAAAACTGAAAATGATTAATAGTCATGTTGGAGGAGGTATAACTCATAACTAATGATTAAAAAATTAATTTTTCTGTTGAATTAGTAGTTATAATATTAATATAAATACTTTATAATATTTTAATTTAGCATAGGGATAAAAAGGTAATTTAACTTTGTACTTTGGTGCTTCCGAGTTTTAATAATATATGATGATATGATGATCGTTTAGGATTGCCCTCAAATTACTAAATTATTTTTCTTACTTTTCCATATTGTTTAGAACTAACCACAAATTTAGTAACTTTTTTCTCTTTTCAAATATTATTTAGGACCGTCCACAAATTTACCAAATTATTTTTCCTTTTTCTATACTGTTTTTCCAATATTATTTAGGACTGTCCACAAATTTACTAAATTATTTTTCCTTTTTCTATACTGTTTAGGATTGGCCAGTAGCCACTATAATAAATAACCCCTTCTCCAATACTTCATATTTAAATAAAGTAATATTTTTACAGAATAAACATATTACATCTCAATTTTTCTTAAATTTCATATCAAATCAAACTATATCACATAAGTTGAAGAGACCAAGTACTACAACAAACAAGTTATTAATTAAAAAAGGGATAATGCACAAGTATCCCCTCAACATATTCCCGAAATATCAGAAACACACTTATACTATACTAACGTCCTATTAGCCCATGAACTTATTTTATTAATAATTTTATACCCCTTTTCGGCCTACGTGGCACTACCTTGTGGACTCAACGCTGGTTGACTATTTTTTTCAAGTTTAGTGCCACGTAGGCCGAAAAAGGGTCGAAAATTACTTATAAAATAAGTTCAGGAGGTAATAGGATCTTTGTATAGTATAAGCGTGTCTCTGAATTTCGAACATATATTGAAGGGGTACTTGTGCATTTTCCCATTAAAAAACAAAAAGTTGCAATTTTAGTTAGCTAATACTTTATTCATCTCAAAATAAATATCACTTTAAATCATTTCAATGCCCTAATTGATTTTCCTAATTAGTTTTCTACCTTCGCCAATTTGAAGCAACACTTTTGCTTGCTATGCTTAAGAAAATAAGTGTCAAAACTGCTTTAAATTGATTAGTTATGACAAAGAGAAACTAATATGTGATTCACAAACATATACACCGCAAACAATTTGAGTACTTATAAGCAAAACATAGAGGATCTATGATGTGATACAAACTTTTTTGTATCAATTTTTGGTTTATCATAGATGGTAAAAATATTGTTTGTTCATCCAGCATATCAGAAACAAATTTGAGAAAGCAAAAGTCATTAAATTAGTGCGTTGTATAAATTTGTTGGCTATAGCGGTCGTTAAGATTCAGCTATTATTGAAACTTACATACCACACCAATTATTATATTAGTGCACTATATATAGTATTTGCTAATGTTTTTGCATATGTTATTTCAATTTCGTACCTTTTTTACATATCATTTAGGTTTTGGGGTCGACTCATCATTGCTAGACAAACTCTAACTTATGTGATCATGTCAATCTGATGTACTTTTAATATGATTAAGAACAAAAAGTGAATAGAGTGGGTAAACCTTTATTTTCACCATTGATGCAGCAAAAGTTCTTAATGCAATATCTGATGGTTAGGCATTCTCGACCCTGCCTTTGTGCATATACTCCTATTCAGTAGCTTACTACGGATAAACCAATGAATTTCAAGGCGGAAGAAAAAAAGAAACAAAACTTTAACTTTCAAATAATCTCTTTTTTTATTTAACTTTAATTACTATTTTTTAAAAAAGTACTATTCAATTAATGTCCAAACATTTACTGACGATGATTTTTTTGATTAATTTTCGAAGATGAGTTTGAAAACTGATTTCTAAAAATACATTTTATTGTTTAATTTCTATTTTCTACCTTGTGATTTTTGGGTATGAAGAAGTTCGTCGTTGTTGCCATGTAAATACATCCAAAGGAGGGAAGTTTTGTGTTAATGGTAAAGTTGGTGTCATGTGATTAAGAGGTTTCGAGTTTAAGTTGTGAAAATACTCTCTCACAGAATAAGATTATGTACAATAGATCCTTGTAATTCAAAGTTGACTCCACTCATAGTAATAATCGTTTAGAAGGATTTTCTTTTTCAGTGTACCCTCTCTAGCAAATTAAGAAGTTTGTTGCGACTGTTGTTGTTTATACCATGGAAGATGATTTATTGTGAATCATCTCATATTTAAAACTGTTGTGATATAAGTAGGTGACATTAAGGGTTGATATTAGTTAGCAAAAGAAAGGGTAGATTAGTCTTTTTCAGCAAAGGTTTTATAATTACTTTCTGGAAGTTAGTTACATAACTATATAAATAGCTACTTCATACAAAAAATACAATGTTCCTCTCTTCTCTTCTAATTCTCTCAATCATGGCGTTGATTGAGCTTTTTAGTTACGAATATGGTATCAGAGCCACATGCTTCAGATTGATTAGGATTTGAAGCTGGTATTTGTCAAAGTATCAAATAATTAATTGGTTGATTCATAAATTCATAGAGTTGTATCAAAATTTGGTACAAATCGTAGCTTGAGATAAGTTTGGAATCTCTATCTTCTGGAAACTGTTAGTTGATTGTTTTCGTGAGAAGAAGCTCAAGTAGATCATCAAATGGCTCTTGGAAGTAGCTCAACTGATTTACCTCAGCCTGAATTTGCACCTCTTGTTTCTCAAACTAGCATTTCAGTACAAGGTCAAGGTATTCACTACAATCATCTCCTGTTTCTTGATCCTACTGATGTTAGTGGTATTAGTTTGATTTCATTTCAACTGCTGGGGACCGAAAACTATATGTTATGGAGTAGATCTATTCGACTAGCACTATTAGGAAGGTATAAGTTTGAGTTAATTGATGGAAGTGTAAGAAAGAGATGTATAGTGTAGAATTGTGGGGAACTTGAGAAAGAGTGAATGCAATTGTGTTGTCTTGGCTACTAAACATGTATCTAAGTTTCTGCTGAGTGGACTTGCGTTTGCCTCTAGTGCATTTGATGTTTGGACTGATTTAAGTGAGAGGTTTGATCAAGTAGATGTTTCCAGAACCTATAGCTTGCACAAAGATATTGCATCTATGCAAGAAAGTATTGCATCTGCTCCGAGTATTACACAAGGCTGAAAACTTTGTGGGATGAGTTTGAGATATTTATATTAGCTCCTTGTTGTAATTGTGAGGTTTCAAAGGGATTTGTAACTCATATGAACAGGCAGAAGCTTTATCAGTTCCCAATGGGACTAAATGAATCTTATTAGGAAGCTAGAAGTCAAATTCTCATGCTAGATCCATTACCAACATTCTATCATGTGACTCTATAATAGTTGGGGATGATGTTAAAAGGTTGTGGTGGATTGTACTACTATCTTGGGAATGACTTCTATTAGCTCAGATCCATCTGTGGCTATGTACTCAAAAGATGGCAGTAGTTCGAGTGTTAGTAATAGCTCAGGTGTGATTCAGAAGTTCAAGAGGAATTCAATACTAATATGTGATTTCTGCAAATGCAAAGGTCACAACAAAGAGTTTTGCTACAAAGTGGTTGGTTATCCTCATGATTTTAAGTCACAAAGAAAGGTGAAATGGGGATCAATTTCCCCAACTGGCAATAACTCCAATAATTAACCATTAGCTCAGGCAACCTTTACATATTGTCTCAAAACCAATACTCCTCCACCATGATTGGGTATTTCACCTAATTCATGTTGACACTCAATTTTGACCGACCTTTAACCATTTTTAGGATTATTATTTAATTAAATATGTACTTTAAAATTTATTTAAAGTTTAGAATATTTAGTCGATTTTGCCTGAAAATTTTATATTTTAGTATGTTTTACTTTATAAAAGTATTGTAAATATTGTTAAAATATTTTAAAATTATTAATGAATTTCAAATGTTTTAAAATTTAAGTGATTTTCAATTATATAAAAAATATTTTAAAATATGTAGTATTTTAATTAAATAGCAATTCCTAAATTTTCTTCAAAATCATTTAAATCTTAACCCATTTTATTTTAATTTCTAGCTACTCCAATTCAAATTTTATTCCAATCATAATCACTCTTCCATTTTAATTCAATCCAATTTAATTGCAATTTTAGTCACTCCAATACTCCAACCAATTTGATTTTAAGACTTCATCTTTTAATCTCATCCGTCCATCTTTAAATTAAATTCTAATCAAATCCTAACCCTCCATATCTGTCTAATCTAACGGTTGAGATCAACTGTGTCTATCTCTTTCTTTAACACCAAAAGACCAAAACCTAATCTAATCTTCATTTTCTCCTCTCTAAGAAGCGCAGGCAGCAGCTTCTCCAAGTTCCCTTCCTCTCCTATTCCTCTTCTCCCGCGAAGCAGCGAGCTGCCGATCGACCCCAATCACCGTTGATCTCTCTTCCCGACTTCTTCTTCCCCTCTCCTCCCGCCTTCTTCTTCCTCTCAATCCTTCTCGCCTTCCTCTTCCTTCCTCTTCTTTGTCTCCCTCATTTTTTTTCTCTTTTCTGGTAGGGACAAGTGTAGCAACAGAAACACCACCAGCGGCCGGCCAGTAGCTCCGACAACACCAGCGAAGCAGCTCCGAGAAGAGAGCTATTGCGAGGACGAAAATCCAGGCAGCAGCTCCAGCGCCTCCCGCCAGCAAGCAGTTCGCTCGCCCCCTCCCTTTTCCGGTGAAACAA